CGCCAGCCTTCGTCGATCAAGAAAAAAGCAAGAAGAAGTTTCCAAAGAATCCGAATTACATAGACAGTAGCACCGTGGCGTCCATGGCTGGAAAAAAGACGAAGCATAACGGACAGACGCGGTATCTGAATCTCGGATACGTGCCCGACGCCCCCGTCTCTTCGAGTGCGTGGAACACTGGCCCAAACTCTCACGACAACACCGTCGCTTCTACGGACTCTGCCTACGAGAACATTGACGTACGGCAAGAACAAAACATCACAAAAGGAACGACAACTACAACAACGCGGCCAGAACGTGCGCCAAGAAGTCCCAGGTCTGCCCGCGCTCCCGTCCCAGCACCCAGGGGTACAACCCCGACCCTGCTGTCACCAGAAACAGAGTTCAAGTCCAACAGCGGTAGCTCGACTCCGAAGAGCGGGCGTTCCACGCCTAGAAGCGGTCGGTCTAGCCCAAGAAACGGCCGCCTAAGCCCAAGCATTCCAGCTCGCCCGACGGCAGCAGAAATAGCGGCAAAGTGCAGCCCGCAAACCAAACAACGGATGCGTCAGCAAGCCCCAGAGGGTTCTGTTCTCAGTAGTCCTAGCGGACGTTCAACTCCAAAGGACGGTCACAGCGCACCCAAAAGCCCCCTATCCAGACCCAAAAGTAGCAACTCTAGCAGCCCTAACGCCCAGCGCAAAGGGACGATAGTAGAAGGGCTCGCTGCAAAATTCGGCAAGGTCTTGCAGCGAAAATAAGCGTACACTACACTGTCTTTTGTAGTTTGTGCCGTTGACGACACGAAGAGGGGAGGGTAACCTCCACCAGACCCTCCTACGATAGTCTCCCATCAAACTTAGCCCGAGTCCAGACAAACTTGAAGCCCGTGGCACCCGGCTCTCCCCTGGCATGTTATCTGTCTATTTGGCCAATTTCTGCTCTTTCCAGCCACTTCCCGAAGCCGGGTAGAGGCTAAATCAATCATATACGTATACGTAGTCTCCCCGTCTTTACTTAGACCAGGGGGATACGGGTCGTAGAATTCTGTAAACAGGGAAATACTAGCCTCTACCAGGCACCGCGGATCGCTGGTAAAATAGTAGAAATTGGACCGAAATAAAGGGATAGTATACCAGAGAAGATCCAGCCGGCCATAGAAGCTCCAATTTGCGACCCACGGAGCCTGTGCGGAGTCGCAAGCTTCAAACGATATCAAATTAATCCCCCTGTTGGAGCTTCTATGGCCCTGGATCTTCTCTGGTATACTATCCCTTTATTTCGGCCACTGATGATTTCTACTATTTTTCCAGCGATCCGCGGTGCCTGGTAGAGGCCAGGGAAATACTAGTTGGCGAGGAGAGTCAGTCAGCAGGGGGCAAATAAACTCTACGGTGGCCAAACTCGTCGAATTATTCTCCCTACTTGGCTTTATTGTACTGTTTTTGAACCCTCGTTGTTAGTCCGGTGGAGACTAGGACTAAGCGGATGTTATGGGTACCTATATATAAACATCTCGTGTCATACACAGGATACGTGTGGTTGTCTTCTACGTGCAGGTCTACACGTTGTTGTAATACCGTCCTGTAACTTGTGTTGTCGTTGCTTTATGTTACGAACATGACTAGCAAAAAATCCAACAATGTTAGATATTTACGCGATGTAAGTAAATAGACGTGCAAGTACGAGAACATGTAACGTTAACTTCAAAATCAACTGCAAAATTGCCAATACCATGAACCTAAGCGAGAGGCCAGTTATTTTCTTAAGCACTTGTTTTTTTCCTCGTATATTCGTTGTTTACCCAGTCCTGTTGTCATTGCTTTATGTTACGAACATGAATAAAAAGAGACCCAACAATGTAAATGTTAGACATTTGCGCGATGTAAATATAATAAATAAACAAACAGCAATGGATCGTGTCTGAACTTGACAAGAGGACGTGATGTCATGAATGTTGATCTGTGTGGGTAGTTACATGTTTAAAGTTAACGCCTAACGCCTACTACACAAAGAAATGACACTTCTTTTAATCTACACAAAGAAATGCTGACATAGTGTTGGAAAGAAGTTCTAACTGTCAACAAGTTGACATGATACTAGGAATCGGTGGACGTGATGTCATGAATGTTGATCTGTGTGGGTAGTTACATGTTTAAAGTTAACGCCTATGTTTCTACAGAAAGAAATGGCACTTCTTTACACAAAGAAATGCTGACATAGTGTTGGAAAGAAGTTCTAACTGTAAACAAAATGACGGGGTACCAAGAACAACAATATGTTCCTTCTGCTAAGTTGAACATAAAAATCCAAAAATGTTGGATATTTGCGCGATAAAATAAACGGCATAATGTGACCCAATGGTCCTTCCCTGAAACACTAAGCTTAACAAGAGGACGTGATATCGATGTCATGAAAGTTCATGTGTGTGGGTAGGTACACGTTTAAAGTTAACGCCTATGTTTCTACACAAAGAAATGCTGACAGTGTTGGGAAGAAGTTATAACTGTCAACATGAGTATTGTATTGTCCCCTATGTTGGCGGCGGCATTAATATAAGTTTAGAAAACTTGAGTGTGCCGTCGCCACGTCTTGTGATTACATGTTGGAAATTGAAAAAAAAATGTTGTGCTTTCAAGCCTCCTTAGCAGGCTTATAGAACTCGGGGTTTGGTGGTCTTCGGCTGTTTTCTGACTAGCCCAGTTTTAAAAAACGGGGGTAATTCAACCAGGCCGGCTATGTTCTTTATATGCAATCAGAAAATAGCACATAAAAGCCATAAAAGCTCCCAAAGACCCTGAAGACCCCCCAAACCCACAGTTTTTGGCATGCTATGGATGTAACAGCGCTACCAACTGACCCGGCCGATGGGTCTAGACCTTTTAGCGGAGAGGTTATAGCGTCTGGTTATCATTCGGAAGCTCTGGTGCTCGGGAGGTCGTGGGTTCGAACCCCGACCCGGGACCAGAAGGGTTTTTACGGCTCCTCCTGTTTCTGACATGGAGGCTAGTGCTTTCGGGGTAGGGGGGGGGGGGCAGGTTGGTTCTGTTGCCAAATAGATGGTCAATGCAATTTCAGGGAAAAACAAAATGGACCCTGGTCGCGGAAGAACTGGGGTGTGCACCGCTAACACTCCCCTGCCCCCTCCCACGACCAGGAGGTCAAGAGGCAAGGTAGGTAGTGTACTAGGTAGAAACGTAAACAAGATTAGAGGACGTTATATCATAAAAGTTCACCTGCGTGGGTAGGTACATGTTTAAAGTTAACGCCTATGTTTCTACAGAAAGCCTGACACTTCTTTACACGAAGAAATGCTGACATAGTGTTGTTAAGAAGTTCTCACTGTAAACAAGATGACGGGGTATATACCAGGAACCGGTGCCAGGCCGGGCACGATGTCCATTGTGTAACGTTACACTTGTTGCAGCAGTTGAACCATATCGATGACGTATGTAGTCGCCCATTTTTCTCGAAATCCCTTTCTGGCAGGTTGACACATTTCCCTGAGGAATAGGAACAACTGTTGTGTTTCCGGTTACCCGACTTGCCCTCACACCCCCTGCCCCTT